AAAGAAATTTCCCCTCTCTTAGTTCACGACCAGTCCCTTCCTATGACCTTGACACCATCCTTTCCCATTTTCTCTGGACTTCACTCATCAATTATTCTATTTAGTAACTTTAATCTCTCCTTTCCTTACCCTCCTTCTCCTCATCCATCAATTTGCTCAGGCATCTAAGAAAATTCTCCCATGGGACCCAGCACTCACCTTTACAGCCCTCAATCGTTATCCTCTCCTCCATTTCAGGCTTCTTGAAAGAACACTCCTCAACTCTTACCTCCCCTCCTATTCTTGTTTCCATTGGCTGAAATCTGATTTCCATCTGCATTATGCTTTTTAAACTCTCACACAAGTTCACCATTATATTCCCAATTGCTAAATGTTTTCAGTTCTTACTTACTGAAATTCCATGCTGCACTTGATTGCTCTCTGCCCCTTGAAACTCTTCATTCACTTGGCTTCCTAGGGTTGGCTCTGCCTGAGCACTCCACCAATTCTCCATGGGAAAACCCGTCCACTTACCTATATTCAGGTCAACATCTTTCATAAAGGAAAATCTTAGTGTCTGGTATCTTAGTGGGATGGTATGTAAGGGGTGGGGGGAAGTATACCCGTATTACCTTGTACACTTCTCTCTATATTATGTTTCTCTTTCTTCCCACTAGAGTCTTAGCTACCCGAGGGCAAAAACTGTTTTACTCATTGTTGTATCTTCAGCTCTCAGTACAGCCTGCTACAGTAGACAAGGAACAGATATCTGTTGAACAAGTTACCCCTTATAAACTTTGCTTCACAGATGTCCGGGCAACTTCTGTAGATGTGTCCAAATGCTTATAGAAATGTTTTAAACATCATACAGAGTGTTACAGACATTCAGAGAAGGGAAATATCATTTTTGGTTAAGAAGTTGTGAAGGTGATAGCACTTGAGCTGGAAATAGTTTAAGTCCAGAGGCAGGAAAGGAAGGGGAAGAGTACTAACTGATCTTCAGCTCCCATGCCGGAGACTAGAGGACAGCAACGGGAGCGACTGTGTGGAAACAACAAGTTTGGATAAGGGAATAGAAGATTGGACAAGAAAGACAAGTAGGGGCCGGACATGGTGGCACACACCTGTAATCCCAGCACTCTGGGAGGCTGAGGTGGGAGAATCGCTTGAAGCCCAGGAGTTGGGGACCAGCCTGAGCAACATAGCCAGAACCCATCTCCCTGTAGTCCTAGCTGCTTGGGAGGCTGAGGTGGGAGGATCGCCTGAGCCCAGAAGTTCGAGGCTGCAGTGAGCTATGATTATGTCACTGCAATACGGCCAATTGGCAGTATTTCTTAACAATATATAAAATAATGCTGCTGGCCGGGCACGGTGGCTCACGCCTGTAATCCTAGCTCTCTGGGAGGCCGAGGCAGGCGGATTGCTCGAGGTCAGGAGTTTGAAACCAGCCTGAGCAAGAGTGAGACCCCGTCTCTACTATAAATAGAAAGAAATTAATTGGCCAACTAATATATATATACAAAAAATTAGCCGGACATGGTGGCGCATGCCTGTAGTCCCAGCTACTTGGGAGGCTGAGGCAGGAGGATTGCTTGAGCCAGGAGTTTGAGGTTGCTGTGAGCTAGGCTGACACCACGGCACTCACTCTAGCCTGGGCAATAAAGTGAGACTCTGTCTCAAAAAAAAAAAAAATAATGCTGCATCTTAAAGTTGATGTCTTAGATTCAATGAAATATGATAACTGGATGTGAATAAGAAATAAGGAATTCAAAAGCAAAGATTCAAACCTGGATGATTTGAAGAATTCCATTATTCCTAACAAAAAAATGAAGAGATTTTCCTTGACCAGAATCTAAACAAATCTTCTATTTGAGCAATGACCCATAGACAATATTGTTGCCTAAGCACTTTCCCCACTTGAACTTATTAATAAGAATAAGAAGAAGTCTTATTCATGACAACTTTAATATGAACACGTGTTTGACCCCCAAGAAGTCATTACCACTGAAAGGGAGGAGCAAGTTGACACTGAAAGGAGTACATGATTCTTAGGGGTGAATGGCATGCTGTTTCTGGATCCTGCCGATATACAACTATATCAAAGCAGCAGTCATTTGAACAATCGAAACTTCTTCAAATACTGGTTCACTTCTTCCTTGGGGTAGGGCCGCAGTGCAATGCAAGTAGGGATATTCTCTGGCTGCTCAAGCCACAGCATGTGGTCAATGTTCTTCTGTTGCAGGGTCTCAGCCAGCTCCTTCAGGGTGGTCTCATCTGGGGCCTATAAGGAGCAAAACACAGATTGAATAGCTCATTTAGGCAGTATCAAAAGGCCAAAAAAAAAAGCAGGGGGCATTCTCTTAACCAAAAGTGGAAGAACAGCTTTACAAAAGGAGGAGCTGTCCTTAGTTGCCTTTTACTCTCTGCCTGGCAGTGGAGAAGGGGAGAGGCTTAATATTGCTATTTATATTAAATGGAGATTTTTCTCTTCCCTCTTGAGATGTTTTATGTGCTTTCAGTAATTACGCTGTGTACCTTTTCCAGTTCTCATATAGCTGGTGCCCATAATATTTAACCCTAATTCTTCAGCTAGCTCTGACTTTAAGAGCTGACTGCTAGAAGGATTTCTAAAATCACATCCACCTACCCTTTGCTCCTCCCCTCCTAGTCTATGTCACACGAACCTAGAAGGATTTTCCTTCTCCTAGGAGACCTCCTGTTGTTTACTCACATCATGGGAGGGTAAACTATTCTCTAACATACTTCTGAAATTGTTTCTGGGTCATCCTTACCACCCATTCACCCAGGCTGAATACCATTACAAGGAGTATTAAAACTACCACTCAAAAAATAATGTATGGGGAGGGGGGAGGGGGACGGGTATATACATACATAAATGAGTGAGGTGTGCACCATCTGGGGGATGGTCATGATGGAGACTCAGACTTTTGGGGGGAGGGGGGGAAATGGGCATTTATTGAAACCTTAAAATCTGTACCCCCATAATATGCCAAAATAAAAAAAAAATAATAATGTATGTTATTTTGCATAAAGTGTAATTTTTGCCTATGAAGGCAGAAGCCAATAAGATAACCAGAGGCTTGTCTCATCAAATTAGAGAATGCCAGGATTGCCTCTGTTTATCTACTGAGTCCGTTGGGTCAAGCCCTGCTGGAGGACTCATTACCTACTCCCCTCTTCTTCAGCACCAGGCATAGCACAGTGAGATACAGTGAGCCTCTGGAGTCAGACCACCAGACTCCCAACTCCGACTGTGATCCTGAATAAGGTATGTGACTTAGCTGGCCTCTTTTCTTCTTTGTAAAATAGGGATGATAATGCTTTCTAGTGAGGATTCAATGAAATTGGGTTATGCCTGGCACATACCCAATACATGTATTTAATCTTGGTATGGTCTTATATTCTACTGGCCTTTATGGCTAACAACAGCACGTCAATTTAATCAGTAGTGACTCCTAAGTCCCTTTCTTGAGGCATGGCTAACAACTAAGGATTATCAGATACCTTTCAAACTCAGGGGAGTCATTTAATCTCTGTGGACTACAGATGTCTCATCTCGGACAACAGGAATCTGAAACCTGATGATTTCTTGAGGCCCTCTTCCTAGAAAAAGATCTAAGGAAAACCTATCTGCTTCTTTTCTGCCTGCTCACAGATTCTCAAGACATTTTTTCCTACAGGTTACTGCTGAATGTTTCGCTAACCAATAGCAATTTTTGTCTTGAAAAATAATCTGTCTTTGCCAGGTATCCATGAAGTATTACCCCACTCCTCCATCTGAGTTCTCATTTATTTTAATGCAATTTTTTTCTCATTATAAAATATGTGCTTAATGTAGAAAAATTTAAAACATAGAGAAGCATTAGGAAATAACCAAAATCTCACCATCCACTACTTGATATTTAGATGTATTTCCTCAGTTTTTTCTTTCAAAATTTGGATCATTTTGTATGTAGAATATAGTTCAGTTTGTATCTTATCAGCAGCAGTCTTCCAAGACACTAAATATGCCTCAAAAACATGAATTATGCTAGCTTCCAATAATATATCATAAAAGCATAGATTAATTTAATCAATCCCTAATATTGGAAATTTAATAATCTCCACGTTTTTAAAGTGCTCCTACGAATGTCCTTGTGCAAAGCTCTTCGTTTGCATCTGGTTATTTTCTTAGTATACATTTCTAGCAGCAGGATTAAGAGTCAAAGGGTAAGAGCTGTTTGGTTATCTGCAAAAAGAACTTTGCCACTATTTTAAAAGATGTACCGATTTACACCCCTGGTTCTGGTATTTCTGATGGTAGGTTCAATTTATACTAGGGTTTTTTTTTTTTAACATTTATTTGCAAATAATTTGGCGCTATACCCAGGTAAATACTTCAGTTTGACTTCACTTTGCACTGTCTCCATGGCAATAAGGAACCTTGTGTCCTTATCCTTCATGGGTTGGTTTTGCTGGAGAGTATTTTTGGACACGGCTTTAAAAAGACGAGACACAGAAGCCACCAGTTCCTGGTGAGCCCGGGAAGGGTGCGGGGAAGCCTTAATAACAGACACGATGTCCACTCTTCACACAATCAGGCCCCGCCCCCAAGGGAAAACTCCTGGGAACCAGGCCATTTTCCAAAACCTGAACGTTAAAGATTCCTCCCGACTCACGCCACACCCACTCCGCAAAGTTAGGCCTTTCTACCCAAGACCGCACCCACTTCCGGTCTCGGCGTTCTCAGCATCCCACCCCTGTGCCTCACCTCGAGGACCACTTTGCGCATGCGCCCCAGCTCTTGGAGGTAAGCGGCGGTGTCTGGGTGGTCGCGGTGAATGTGCAAGGCCGCAGTGGCTGCGTGACAAGCCTGCGCTACCAATGCGCCCGCCGGCCAGGAGAACGGAGCCTGTGATAGATCCTTTCGTAACACCAAGTATTGTACCAGAACCTGCGGCTCCGCCCTGGAGGCCGCCATCTTCCTGACCACCCGAAAGACCGGACCTGCTGCCCGGTGCATGCTGGGATCAGGGAGGGGCTCTGAGCGCCGCCATGATTTTGTACGGCGGGTGCGCAGAGTACGCCGGGATTGACTGGATTAGTTTTGAAGACGAGGACGGCGGGAACTCTTCTTCCTGGCCTGGTGAGCAAGCGGGAACAAGGTTGAGGGAAGAAAGCCCCAAGGACCCACGGGACCGTGACCAGTGTGGCGGGCTGAACAGCCTTTTAAAAAACCTGCTGGACCAAAATGGCTTGCCCTCGGGAGCGCCCCGGGGGCGGGGAGGTTGGCGTGTGCGCAGCAGAGAAGGACCCGGGGAACCGGCAGGCGGGTCAGGGAAGGAGAGTGCTAGTGGTGACAGGGGTTATCCGGGGGCCGAGGGGGTGTGCCTGAGTGGTGAGCGCTCTGCCACCTGGGTTTGTTTGAATGGGAATAGATGTGACTTTGTTTCCATTTTCTTTTACCAGGAAGGACTTCTAGGTCCCTGATACCACTGGCCTAGACAGCTTCATGGGAAGGCTCTTGGGAATCTGAGGAGATGGAGCAGACGAATACTTTATGTCAAGACGGCAAGTCCGAAGGAGGTAATCAAAGTGTCGCCTATTCCCCTTCCTGCTGCTGCCTGAAGACCCGCAGGCTGAAAGAACCCTTTCTTTCTGGAAGATGTATGACCTGTCCTGTTTGGGACCAGAATGGTGAAAGGAACCAACATTGAAAACTTAAAGGGACAGGCAGCCAAGATCATTTGACAAGGAAAAATTACTTTGTTTCTAGGCTGCTGCCCCTTTGGAAACTGATAAGTTCCATTCATAGTATGCTCTGTGTTTATATTTGAAGCTACAGTTCTAGCCAGTGAGATACCGTTCCTCTCATCCCAGGATTTCTGGGGGCCATTTATGCATTTCTCCTGACGGAGGGCCAGTGACTTTGGTGTTGGTTAGACGTGAATATGAGTCCTGGCTCTGCCATATAAATGTTGTGGCCTTGGACAAGTTAACTGTTCTCTGCCTCAGTTTCTTCGTATGGAAAATGGAGGTGAATAATAGCATTTTTGTGGTGGTTTTGGAATTAGATAAGTATTTAACTATATTCTTTTCAAGTAAAGCATTTAGCACCTGTCAAATGTATAGGAAGTATTCAATAAATGCTCTAATTCTTTACATCCTTTGTAAGTAAAATATCTAGGAGAAGGATTCAACAAATGCTTTAATATTAGAGTTGATTGGCATTATGAAACTATGACCTTTACTATATTGGTCCTTAGTCATTTGGCAACTGAGATTTGCCTCTGAATTTCTGTCCAGAAATAAGGTTGCTTTCCCTTTAATACCCATAATATTTATGGACAGTTCTTGTTATTGTGTGCCTTTATAGTCCTGTGCCACTAATTCTTTTTAGAGCTTTGAAGTACTTATGCAAGTCTGATGTCTCAATCCAAAGTGTTATGCATTAACATTTTGGAAAAGCTTGCATAAAACCCAATTTAAAAAAATAATGCTGTAGTTTTAAAAACAATTTGTGAGAGAGTCAGTGAATTTGGTGACCTTGTTTTCCTCTGGGTTACTGATAACTGAGAATTAGCTATATTCAGATAACTGATGCTGAAACTTTAGATCAGGGGTCCTCAAACTTTTTAAACAGGGGGCCAGTTCACTGTCCCTCAGACCTTTGGAGGGCCGGACTATAGTTTAAAAAAAAACTATGAACAAATTCCTATGCACACTGCACATATCTTATTTTGAAGTGAAAAAACAAATGGGCAAAAACACCCACATGTGGCCCGGGGCCGTAGTTTGAGGATGATTGCTTTAGATAATCAGTAGTATGTGGGTTAAGATTTATTGTTACTTCAAGACTAGAAATAAGTTTGGTGAGTATGTATTAGAAATATGCTACAATCAGAATGAACATACTCTGTAGTCTACAATTGATTTTGTTTCTTTTAAAATATCCGATGAGGTCAGTGGAAGCTTTGGATTATCAAGAGGCTTAGACCAGTCAAGGAGTTATTCTACAGCCTTTTTATTCTTTACCCAAAACAATATTTAAACATTTGGCTCTTATTCATACTGGTTTTAGCCCTCTACTTGTGTGGTTTTATAAGAGCTTTCTGCTTCAGATTCGAATTCTTTCAAAAGGGAGCATTCTGAACTTCCCACTCATTTCAGAGAGAAGGACACAGAATTTTAGTTGCAACCAGTTGATTTCTTCAAATGGGGAGGGGTTTTGACCATTTTTATAACCTTTTTTGGGACAAAACTGACTGGCTGCATTGAAATGCAGTTATATCTTCCAAATTGAGGCAGGCTCAATAAACAGATTCTCTCTTTTCTCTAGTAGCAACATTAAATGACAAGCTGACATAGTTTTGAATACCTATATATCTGAGAAACTTCAGAAGCATTAATATCTATTTGTTGTAGTAATGTAGAATTTACCTTTTCTTGGAGTGACTCACTTGAGAACAGTAATTAACAGAACAATAATTAACAGTCTTAAGTTGTTATTTTTATCATTTTCCTTACAAAGGGAAAAAATGACATATATAGTGAGTACCAAGGAAATTTTAGGTCTGTAAAGTAGAATTTGACCAGGCATCTCCTGTAACACCTTAATTTAGACCAGGTATGTGCACTTTTCAAAATACCTCCTGGTTGGATATTAAATAATTTTTGTAAGCTCTGTGAGGACAAGGACTTTCTTTTGCCATTAGAGTATGAATAGCTTCCAGCACAGTCCCTGGTCCATGGTAGAGTCTCAATACATAGTTTTGTTGGATAAATAGAGATTTGTTAATAAAGCAATTAATCACATGCTAATTATTAGCACTGATTTGTTATTCAATTAAGATTTTCTTTTTTCACAAATATTATTGTAGTAATATGGACTTTTCTGTAGACATATGCCACATGAACTTAATCTCTAAGAGATCATGCCTGGTTGTCCATCTTTCTGTACATACTTATAGAGCATTTACCATATGTCAGGCATTGTGTTAGCTAATAGGGATACATGGGTGAACAAAAACATAGTACCTGCTTTTGGAACTCGAAGGTTCACTGGGAGAGAGAAGCAATCAAATAATCACACTAATTAATATACAATTACAACTGTAATTTTTTTCTGAAGGAAAATTATATAATTCTTTCAGATCTTATGAAAAGGCACCTGAGCTTGTTCTGAAGGTGCCACAAAGGTTTCCCTAAGGAAATGCTGCTTGCACTGAGTACTGATGAGCTAGAGTGAATGCAGGTGAAAGTGGTTAAAGGGGCTAGGAAATAGCATTCCATGGAGAGGGAATTGCACGTGTGAAGGAACCAGACAAGTTTGAGAGCCTGAGAGGAGGCCTGCGAGGAAGTGCAGAGAGAAGGAACATTGATATTGATGAGGACAGGAGAGATAGGCAGGGCCCAGCAGGCCTTGTAGGTAGTGCAAAGTCATTTATGTAAGGCTTTAGCTAGCTGGAGAACATGATCAAATTGAGATTTCGAAATAATGCCTCTGGTGTAGGAGCCATCTAGGAAACTTGTAATAAGCCAGAGATGATGGTGGCTTGAACTGCAGTGGTGGCAGTGCAGATGACGAGAAATGGACATATTTTAGAGGTGCCAGGACTGTAGATTCAGTAGGATTTGGTAGTGAATTGAGGTTGGGGCATGGAGAAAGGTATAAAGAAGATGCTAAATACCTGGCTTACATAACTAGGTAGATAGTGGTCCCAGTGACTGAGGGCATTGGAAGGAAAAGATGGTGAATTCAGTCTTGGACATGCTTAGTGTCGGGTTCCTCTAAGACTTCCAAGTAGACATACTGAGAAAGCAGGTAGATATTCTCTAAAGTTCTGGAGAGAGAAGCTAGAGATACATATTTGTGAAGCATTCATTTATAGATGGTCATTAAGGCTGTGGGTACTGATGAGATTTCTTCAGGAAAAAAGGTCTTGGGACTGAGCTTTAGAAAATTCCAGCATTTAATGGTCAAAGAGAAGAGTATAAGCTTGCAAAGCAGAAAGAGGGGTCAGAGAAGTAAAAATGTAAGTTTCCCAAAGGCAAGGTCTACATTTATTGAGGAAGGAAAACCCGGAGGCTGGTATGATAGGATTCAAGGGAAGAGAGTGTTTCAGGAAGATAGTGATAAGTAGAGTCTTAATGCTGCTGGGAGGTGAGATCAGGAAGCTTGAAAAATGTCCGTTGGATTCAGCAGCATGAACATCACTGTTGATCTCAGAGTAGTTTTGTAGAATGATGGGAACAGAAATGAGTTGAGAGTGGGTTGAGGTATGAATAACTGGTAAAGAAATGGAGAAAGAAAGTATAAGTTGAGCAATGAAAAGCCAATTCTGAAACTTTTTGAGTGCTGATACGACGTGCAAAGGAAATGCTCGTTTCAGATTTTGGATTTAGGATGCTCCAACTGGTAAGTATAATGCAAATATTCCAAAATCCAAAATCTAAAACACTTCTGGTCCCAAGCATTTTGAATAAGGGATACTAGACTGTGTGGGCAAGTCTTTTAAGTAGTTTGCCTGGAAAGGAAAGGGGAATGAAAGGCGGAAGGCATGTGTGGACAAGGATGGGCCTGCGATTCTGTGTGTGTGTTTGAAGACAAGTGAGACTTGAGCCCGTGGAGAAGGGCACAGCTGAGAGGAAATGGTTATAGCAGAGAACAGGGATAATGATAATCTAGAGTTCCTGAGAAGGCAAGAGGGAACAGGAGTTGATCCCTAAAACAGCAATTCTGCATGTAGTGTGTGTCTGCTTCTACTTGATCTCACGGGAGTTTTGTTTGTTTGTTTGTTTTCTGGAATATTACTCCCTGCCCCATATGAAAGTCTAGGTTTTTAGTCTTAATTGGATAGATGAATGAGATAAGTTTTTGGATTCTGTCCCAAGGTAAGGAAGGAAGATTAAGATTTTCATATATGTATATCCTTATGAATCCCCCTACAAAATAGATGCTGGATCTACTTAAGAAACCCAATTAAATAAACTCTGGTAGTTAAAAGTATAGAATTTTCATGAGAGAGATTCTGTCTAGTCTGTGGTAAAGCCATAAATCATCCTTTTCCGCATTAGAGATGTGCGTTTGTGATCAACTGTAGGCCTAGATAAAATACTGCGGCCTCATCAGTGATAGCCAATTCAGATTCTCTCTCATGCTATCTTTGAATAGTATCCTGGTCAAGGCAGTTTTTTACATCACTGTTCAACCTAAGAGGTTGATGATCTTTGATTTTGATTATCAGCTCCTCTGATAAATTGGTTTCATAAATTGTGGTGGCTATCCAACAATTCAGCTGACCACAGAGTTCTGGAAAAAAGACTCACTCTATGTTCTTCTCTGAAATGCTTCCTTTTGCCAGAGTTAGAAGTCCTTGGCTTCCTGTGAAATTCCCTTTTTACTTTTCCTTAGGTGTCTTAGCTCACTTGGAAAGACTGGAGACTGGAGTGAGCAGATCCCATAAACAATGTGAAGAGCTGCAGGGTGCACAGGCGGTGGGAAGTGCTCTTGCAACCAAGATTCATAAATTGAGGTGTCTGCGGGATAAGCTGAGGGCTGAAGTGAAGCAGCGGCAAGCCAGGGTGAGTAGAAGGGTGATGGGGGCAGGTTTTTCCTAGGGTATAAAGAACAAACATCCGAAATTGGCAACTTTGTGTAATGTGACTTTACTGGATGAGCTTCAGTCCTTGATCCCTCAAATGATCAAACCTGGAGAGCTGCAGCTAATATCACTGTCACCTGACAATTGTCAGGCACTACTGAAGGGCCAGGCAAGTTCTTCCCAACAGACTCTTAACCTGCCATCATGGACATTTAAGTCCATTACCTCAATCGCAAGTCAACTTGAGTTACTGGTTCTTTTGTCATTAGTGACATCTTTCTGTCACTCAGACTTAAAACCTTACAGGAAACTGCGACCCTTCCCTCTTTGCAGTTTTCTCTCTAGCCTAGGTCCAGTCAGCAGGCCCTGTCAAATTTTCCTTTATATGGTCTTTGCACTTCCTCTCGCCATTGCAGGATCTCAGGTGTTATCCACATATGGGGTAAATATCTAACAAGTGATTTAGATGCTGGGATTATTACAGTAGCCTCTTAGTTGGTCTGTCTTCTAGTATTTCTACTTTTCCACTAAATCCCTAAATCTTCCACAGTCAAGAAAATGCTTCATGAAACACCACATCATTTCCCTGCTCAGAAACATTCAGTAATCATTCATGGCCCATGGAATAAGGTCAGCCTTCCTTCATTTTCTTGTCTTCTCATTAAAGTAAAAATATATATATAAAGTGCACATATCTGATGAACTTTTTTTACAAAGTGGGCACACAGCTCAAAGGATAGACTACTATCAGTACTCTTTAAGTCCCCCCTTTGCCTCCTTCTAGGCATTTCTCTCAAGGTAACCACTATTCTGATTTTTGTCACCATAGGTTGGTTTTATCCATTTTTGAACTTTATGTAAATGTAAAAAGTATAAACTTACATCTGGCTTCTTTTGTCGAATGTTAGGTCTGTGAGATTCACTATACCTTGTGTGTAGTGGTCACTTTTTTTTTAATTGCTATATAGCAATTCCATCTTATGAATATATTATAATTTATCCATTCTGTTGATGATATTGGGTAATTGGGTTATTTCAATTTGGGACAATTATGAATATTGCTTCTCTGAACATTCTTGTTTCTGGCTTTTGGTGTAAAAATATACACTTGTCAGGTTTATACCTAGTAGAATCACTGGATCATAGGGTATGCATATTAGCTTTAATAAATACTGCCAGTTTTTGAAAGTGATTATACCAGTTTTATATTCCCAGCAGCAGTGTATAAGATTTCATCATTTCACACTTTACCAATACTTGATGTTGTCCGTTTCAAAAAATCATCATTCTGGTGGGAGTGTAATAGTATCTTGTTGTAGATTTAATTTGCATTTGCCTAATAACTAATGATGTTAAGTACCTGTATTGGACACTTGAAAATCTTTTGTTGTGCACTGTGCTTTACAAGGCTTTTGCAAAATTTTTACTAGGTTGTCTGTCTATTGTAGAATTCTTTACATATTTTGGATATGAGTTCTTTGTTGGGTATGTGTATTAGAGTCATCCCTAGACTGTGTCTTGCCTTTTTCTCTCTACTGGTGCCTACGATGGAAGGAAAATCTTTGTTTTATTCAAGTTCAATTTAGGAAGGAATTTATGCTTATTATTCTTGTTTCCTGTTTAATAAATCTTTGCCTAACTTAAGATCATAACAATGTCCTTCTGTGTTATTTTCTAAAAGTTTTATTATTTTATCTTTTAGAATTATTATATATATATATATATAATCCATCTATAATTGATTTTTATGTGTGTTGTATGATAGAGATCATCCTTCTTGTGTTTTTCCATATGGATATTCGTTCATCCAGTACTACTTCTAGAAAAGATCACTCTTTTCCCCTTCTATTGTAGTGCATCTTTGAGTCCAGTGTGGGTTTGTTTCTGAATTGTGTTTTGTCCATTGATCGGTTTGTCCATCTTTGTGCCACTACCAGAGTTGATTACTATAAGTCTTGAGACCTGTAGTATATGTCCTCTTCAGAATTATCTTGCCTATTCTTTGCCCCTTGAATTTTCCATACATTTGGGAATCAGTCAATTTCCTGGGCTCAAAATGATCCCCCTGCCTGAGCCTACAGAGTGGTCCAAGCCACCTGGCTAATTTTTTTTTCCAGTTTATTATGGGGGTACAAATATTTAGGTTGCGTGTGTTGTCTTTCCCTCCCTTCACCCCCACCAGAGTCAGAGCTTCAAGCGTGTCCATCCCCCAGATGGTGCGCATTGTACTCATTATGTATGTATATACCCATCCCCTCCTCCCCCCTCCCATCTGCCCGACCCCCAATAAATGTTATTCCTGTATGTCCACTTAGGTATTGATCAGTTAATACCAATTTGCTGGTGAGTACATGCGGTGCTTATTTTTCCATTCTTGGGATACTTCACTTAGTAGAATGGGTTCCAGCTCTAGCCAGGAAAATACAAGAGATGCTATGTCACCGTTGTTTCTTATAGCTGAATAGTACTCCATGGTATACATATACCACATTTTATTAATCCACTCATGAATCGATGGGCACTTGGGTTGTTTCCACATCTTTGCAGTTGTGAATTGTGCTGCTAATAAACATTCGAGTGTAGGTGTCTTCTTTATAGTGTCTTTTGTTCTTTTGGGTAGATGCCCAGTAATGGGATTGCTGGATCAGATGGTAGATGTATTGCTTAAAGGTATCTCCATTTTGCTTTCCAGAGGTTGAACTAGTTTACAGTCCCACCAGCAGTGCAGAAGTGTTCTTATCTCTCCGCATCCACAGCAACATTTATTGTTTTGGGACTTTTTAATAAAGGCCATTCTCATTGGAGATAAGTGATATCTCGTTGTGGTTTTGATTTGCATTTCCCTGATGATTAGAGATGTTGAACATTTTTTCATATGTTTATTGGCCATTCTGTCTTTTGGAAAGTTACTGTTCATGTCTTTTGCCCACTTTTTGATAGGGTTGTTTGGTTTTTCCTTGCTTATTTTCCTGAGTTCTAAATAGATTCTAGTTATCAGCACTTTATCGGATGTAGCTTGAGAAAATTTTCTCCCATTCTGTAGGTTGTCTGTTTGCTCTTGTGACAGTTTCTTTGGCTGTGCAGAAGCTTTTTAATTTGATCAGGTCCCATTTATTTATTTTTGCTGATACTGTGATTGCCTTTGGGGTCTTCTTCATAAATTCTTTGCCTAGGCCAGTGTCTAGAAGAGTATTTCCAACGTTTTCCTCTAGAATTCTAATAGTTTCACAGCTCAGGTTTAAGTCTGTTACCCAGCATGAGTTGATTTTTGTGAGAGGTGAAAGGTATGGATCCTGTTTCAGTCTTCTACATGTGGCTATCCAGTTTTCCCAGCACCATGTATTGAATAAGGATTCTTTTCCCCAGTGTATGTTTCTGTCTGCTTTGTCAAAGATTAGTTGGCTATATGAGGATGGTTTTATATCTGGGTTTTCTGTTCTGTTCCATTGGTCAATGTCCCTGTTCTTGTGCCAGTCCCAAGCTGTTTTAATTATCATCTGGCTAATTTTTTTTTTATTTTTTAGATAGGTTCTTATTGTGTTGCCTAGGCTGGTCTTAAATGGTCTCAAACTCCTCACTCCCAAAGTGCTGGGATTATAGGCATGAGCCACTGTGCCCAGTGTCCTTCCTTTTACTCTCTTTGGATCTAAGTTGCTATTCTTTTAGCTTCTTGAGATGAGTATTTATTTATAGTTTTAAATCTTCTTTTGTCTTATATGCATTTAAAGTTTTAAATTTTCCCTCTATGCATGGCTTTAGCTATATCCCAGAAGTTTGATATGTTAAATTTCATTATTTCAATTCAAAATATTTTCAGTTTTCATTGTGATATCTTCTTTGCCCATGGGTTTGTTTCAGAAATGTATCACTTCCAAAATTTGGGTGTTATTTTATTTAAGTTATCAATCTGTAGCTAAATTCCATGTGGTCAGAGAACATGACACCCAGCATGTGGCTGGTTTTGGTAAATGTTCCATGTGCATTAAATGTGGATTTTTGTGGTTGTTGGGCACTGTATTTTATGTTTATCAAATAGACCAAGTGTGTTCATGGTTCAGATAGTTTATATCCTTACTGACTTGTCTACTTGTTTTATAAGTTACTGAGATTTGTTAAAATCTCCCACAGTGGTTATAAACCTGGTTTTTCCCTTTTTTTCTGTGTTTCTGTGTATACTGGGTGAAAATGAATTTAGGATTACTATATCTTCCTAGTTAACTTTTTATTATTAAGAAATGTTCCTTTTATTTTTAATTAAACTTCTTGCCTTAAACTCTACTTTGACAAATGCTAGTACAACAACTTTTTTTTGCCTAGGGTTTGCATGGTAAATTTTATCTATCATTCTACTTTCGATCTCTCAATGCCCTTACAGTTAAGATATTCCTATTTTAAGTAGCATGTGGTTAGATATTTTTAATCCAGCCTAGCAATCTTTGTGTTTTAATTGGAACATTTAGTCCATGAAATTTTATTATGACTGCTTATATATTTGGATCTCAGTCTACCATGGTATTATTTTATTGTCTTATTTGTTTTGTACAGTCAATGTTCCTTTAGGGTTATACATATTTTTCCCTTCCAGTGCTTTTTTGAGACAGAGTCTCACTTTGTTGTCCAGGCTAGAGTGAGTGCCGTGGTGTCAGCCTAGCTCACAGCAACCTCAAACTCCTGGGCTCAAGCGATCCTCCTGCCTCAGCCTCCCGAGTAGCTGGGACTACAGGCATGCGCCACCATGCCCGGCTAATTTTTTTATATATATATCAGTTGGCCAATTAATTTCTTTCTATTTATAGTAGAGACGGGGTCTCGCTCTTGCTCAGGCTGGTTTTGAACTCCTGACCTTGAGCAATCCGCCCTCCTCGGCCTCCCAAGAGCTAGGATTACAGGCGTGAGCCACAGCGCCCGGCCATAGGTGTTAGTCTTGTTTGACTATAATGTGTCTGTGTCTGTTTTCCCTCAGGCTTCTTTTAAGATTTTCTCTGTTTTTGGTTTTCAGCAGTTTTATAACATAATGTAACTGGGCATAGTTTTCTTTGTTTATCCTGCTTGGTGTTTGTAGAGCTTAAATTACTTAATGTTTTTCATATCTTTTGGAAATTTGGCTGTATTTCTTCAAAGAGTACATCTATCTCATTCTTCTATTTCTGGGGCTCCCAGGTATGGTGGTCCCCTCCCCCCTCCTAGGGACCTATGTCTTTACTGCTTTTTCTAATCTCATTTTGCTCTATGTGCTTTAATCTGGATGTGAAAATATACCTATTTTCCACTTCACTTATGATCTTTGTCTAGTTGGCTTTTAAATCTATTAAAATCCTAATTTTAGTTACTGCATTTTTGGTTCTAGGATTTCCATCTGATTCTTTTTTATAGTCTAGCTCTTCAGTATCAGTTCTCCGTCTTTTAACCTATTTTAATTGCCATGCCCAATAAATCAAATAGCTGAACCCCATTGGATCTGTTTCTATTGTCTTCTTTTTCCTTTTGGTTTTCAGTCATCTGTTTTCTGGCATACCTAATAATTTTTTTGATTGTATGATGGGTATTGTGTATGAAAAAATTTAGGGGTTTTGAGTTATATTATCTTCCTCCAGGAGGAATTTTAGTTTTTTTTTCTGGCAGGCAGATAGCATGTGGGCATATCACCTTAATCCAAATGAGGTGGTCTGTTTCCAGTTTGCCCTTACTCTTAGGGTGTAGCTTTTTCTTAGGGCCCTTAATTGAAAGTTTGGATGTGTGTCAGGGACAGGTCTCTATTAAGGCCCCTCTTCCTTGGCTGGCCCTGACCTCCAAATTTTGCTCTGCCAAAAGCTTTGCTTAGTTTTTTAACCTTTAGCAGCTTCTTTCTGTTTGGTTTCTCAGTGGGTACTCAGTCACCCATTTGCAATTGAAGAATTAGCAAATACCTGGAGAGCAAATTGCATTCAAAATTTTGGATTCCTTTTCTGTGGGATCTTGGCCCATAGAAAGGCTGCTTTGATAACATTTATGTCCAGTGTTTGTTTCCTGGGATAATGAGACTGCTACCAAGCATAGCCTACAGCTTTCTATCAGGCCCATGTCCCTTGTGTATGAACACACAAATACTCTGAGGGGAAAGGCTGCAGAGAAACCCAGCTAACTTCAGAGCATTTATCTTTATTCTTCAAACCTGGCTATTCTGGCTATTTGGGTGGTTCTTTAATGCTTTCAAACCATTTTCTGCCTCTTTGCCTGCTTACTCATTTATTTTTGGTATTTTATTGAGTTTGCATGGTTGTTCACAGAGGGAGGGTCAGCTGTCTGCTGGGCCATAGCTAGAAGAGTCAGTCTTAGCGTCCTGGCACTGAAGCCCCGCACAGTCTAAACTGGGCCAGCTTTCCCAGCCTCACCTTTCACAGCCATCTGTTTGCTCACGTTCATCCTAGACTTTCCTCACACCCTCTTCCTCCTTTCACACTCCTCTCTTTTCCCACCAAAATTTGAATTGTTCTTCAGGCCAGCAGAGTTTCTACTTCTGTTTCCTAACAATGTGGCCCATGAGATTCCTTCTCTGGTGTGAATTAATTCATAGCACCAACTGACCAGCCACTGTAGCATTTCTTGATGTATTACAATATATAAAATACTCTGTATTTAGCTTTTATCCAGTTGGGTGAGGGCAGGGACTTTGTGGTGTACCCCTTTGTACCCAGTTTGATTTGTTGCACATCTTGCAGGTTAAAACATCTATTGCCAGTGTGGAACCTGACCAAACAGTGAAGATCAGTGAACAAGAAGTTTTGGAAAGGAAACAGGAAAATGTGAAAGCCATTTTGCAGGCATATCGTTTTACAGGTTTGATTTTTTTAAACTTAATTCAGTCTGGGTTTCTGTCTCTAGTGAGTTTGTTTGCTACATGTATTATTAGTTCTGGACTAATTTCATGAGAATTTATTTTGCAGCCCCACCCTTGTCTCTCTCTCTCTCTCACACATGCAGGCACGCACGCTAGTTGTAGGCATGTCTTCACCTACAAGATTGGCCTCTTTGTACAGCAGAAGATTGGTTGGTGGCCATTCTTTTTTAGCAATTCATTGTGTGTCAGACTCTGCATTAGAACTTCCTTTACTGCTGGCTTGCTCTATGCCACTAGTCAAATAGTTTGAACCCCTCAAGTCTCTGTTTCACCATAAATAAGAATTTATTCTCCCATCTATGCCAAAAGAGGATTATGGAAAGAACTGTCATACATTACTTTGATACTCAGAAAAAAAAAAAAAGAGAATAGCTCAACTAAAAATTTATTTCTCAATAATTTGGCCTTTAGGATGTCTTCTTTTCTGTCATTCTTCCATGATTTAAACAATCCAATCACAAAGTGAGCCAGAGTCAAGGGGGAAGTAAGAGCCTGTGATCTTCATCCATTCAGCAAACATTTGTGCACATGGCATGTATGCATTTGCACTGTGGAGGCAAATGGAATGCATAGATGAGTTTAGACATTACCTTTGCCTGACATCTGTTGAGAGGTATCATCTTATTGTTTGCCTCAGGGCTCAGTGGTAAACTGACCAGCCGAGGAGTCTGTGTCTGCATCAGTACTGCTTTTGAGGGGAACCTATTGGATTCCTATTTTGTGGACCTTGTCATACAGAAGCCACTCCAGATATATCACCATTCAGTCCCAGTCTTCATTCCTCTGGAAGAAATAGCTGCGAAATACTTACAGTCTGATATTCAGCACTTCTTATTCAGTCTCTGCGAATATTTAAATGCTTACTCTGGGAGGAAGTACCAGGCAGATCAACTTCAGGTATCTGTGATGCTATATACCCCATTTTATGGGGCCAAGTTATACTTAAAAGGGAGAAACGGGCGTTTTCATTTGTATTTTAAATGTTCCCTAGCCAGAAGTGACCATTACCTTTCTAATATTTGTTTTTTATTAATATACAAGCTATTTTCCACCTTCTTCTTACCCTTTTGAACCTCTGGATGATGTTGAAATAGGTACTGGTAAAAGGATTATGTACTCTTGAATGGTGGTCCTCAAATTTTATTACAAGGATGTAGAATGTAGTTGCTATACTTTGACAAGGATTTATTGAGCATCTACTATATGCCAAGTGCCTTTCTGAACCTTGGGACTAGATGCAAGCAGAAGGAGTATAATGGGTTCTGAAGTACCACAGAGGAATACTATCCATCCTCCCCTAAATTCTGCCCTACCTTCTTAGTGCTGCAGTTGAGCTAAGGTTGGGGTGAAAAAAGTTGATAGGAAATGAATGCAAATAGGCAGTAAGTGGCTCTTATAAGCTTAGCATTTCCCCTTGTGTATTTGGAATGACTGTGAAGCTTCCAGTTGTAGGTTAAACTTAAATTGGTATGTGAATGCAGACATGAAGTGTCTTAGCCATATAGTAATGTCAGTGAAATTCTTGGCAGAAACGGTATCTCGCCTGGACTGGCACCCCTGGCCATTTAGGAAGTGCTTCCTGCAGGTCTTTCTAGACTGCCACTGACCACTGATCTTATAAGTCTTTTTCATTGGTTTTTTTTTTTCCAGGCATTTTTCTGTCCCTCATTTATTTCTCTGAAATACAATTTATGGTCTGTTTTGGGTAGATATATTTGAAGTGTCATAACCATGCTTTTGCAGTGGTAATCATTTTATGCTTTGTTTTGTTCCTCACCCTTCTTAGAGTGAATTTGCAGCCTTTCTGGCTGGGCCCTTGCAGAGAAACTCACTGTGCAACTTGCTGTCATTTACTTACAAAGTGGATCCAAGGGGTGAGGGTTTCCCATTTTGTGCCAGATTGCTGTATAAGGACCTCACAGTGACTCTTCCAACTGATGTCGTCATTACATATCAAGGTAAGAAGAAGGATGCCTTAGTGAAGAAATTATAATGTGCTCTGGTTTGTTCAAGTTAAATGAAACAGGTAAAATAGGTAGAATACATCAAGTGGACTTCTTGATACTTCCTTTTGTTTATGTACTATAAATTTATTCAGACTGTAAGATACAAAAACTATGTTGCTTCTGCCGGTCTTTCTTTTCCTCTTTGTAAATAGTAAACATACTTAATCCAGTTCTCCCTCCTCCTTTGCCCCATCCAACTCTGCCAGTGTTCTGTTCTTTTAGCTTATGATTTAATTTCATTGGAGACCCCCGCTTGAAGGAGGACAACAAGGAGTAGGGAGTAAGTTTTGTAAGTAAGTAAGACAAGGAATAAGTTTTGTCCTATGGTTATTTATGGTGAATGGAGCTAAGCCTCATTTCATTGTGAAGCCAAATAGACTTGACAAGTCAGTGTACACTTAGCTTTCTACAGAGTATTCTCTAAATGGAAAATTTTTAGGGCTGGTCAAGAGAAATTTCTTTTTTGTGAACCTTTTTCAATTAAATGTGCCATAATATGATATGGGCAATAATGAAAAATTGGGTAAGATGTTTTTAGGAGGCATTTTGAAGCTGCCACGGGTTTCAAAGGTTTTATCTGTGAGCTCTGATTTAAGTCCCTAGTCTCAAAATTATATTCATCCAGTAAGAGACAGCCTCTCTCTGTCCACACCAAAAAATAAAAGTTAGATCCGTCCAGAATATCAGTGATGCAAGTTCTGATTCCCCTGATTGAACTAAATGAGATTGATATACTCTCTTTTTTAGGAACAGAAGCATTATCCACCTCCTGGGAAGAACAGCGAGCATCCCATGAAATTCTGTTCCGTACGAAGCCCCTTCATCAAGTCTTTGCTTCATTTGCAAAAACAGGAGAAATGTTGGATATGAGCCTGGTCTACTAAAATATTTTTTTCACTGGAACATGTCAGAAGTGAGTAAACTGGTACTGTTGATAGCCTTGCCTGGGAATCACCCTTGTAATGTGAACAGACACCTACTGCTTCACCAGGATGAGGAGCAGATTTGAGTACAGACATTGGCATTTGGGACAATTCCCATGATAGCCTGGTCACTTGTTAAAATGCCCCAAATCATCTGTTTGTTTTGAGGTATTGAATGATTTAATCATGTATTTTAGTTGAAAATCAGAATGGTTTATGGGCTGATAGAAGACATTTTATGGAAGAGGGAAGGTGTGTCATTCACTTAACAGAATTTCTAGCTTTTATGGAAGCTTTAAGTTATTCTGCCTCATTTTCCTGTTCTGAGAGCTTTGAAAGTAAGTTCTTAGAACACTCCAGGTTCATGATAATGAGGTAGATCATATAGTTAAGAGGGGAAGAGTGTTTGATTTTTGGTTTGGAGCAATGTATTCTATCTAAGCCACTGTTTTATACATAATATGCTATGAGAAAGCAATATGGATAATCAGGGTTCAGTGTACCTAATAGTTTCCTAAAACATTTTAGTATAGTGCTGAATGTATCAAGTCCCTTGTGACAAAACATGGTTAAAAATCTGCCCATAAACATAGTTATTGATGCAAAGGGAAACAGGCCTTACCTCTTTGTGTCTTCCCTTGTCTTAGTCTGTTTAGTGAACTGTTTCTCCCTGTAACCACGGCCTCTGATCTGCTGGCCCTTCTTGTTCCTTATGGGTCAGTTCACAGATGCAACAACCTGTATGTTTGGCAGCCCAACTTCTCCCATTTTAATTGCTGCCCCTTCCTTGCCCAGTCACAGGAGTGATCGTTACTACTACTGCCCAAGGCCCAGAGCTACACTCAGGCTTCACTCTGAAATGGTCACTTCTTAGACATTATGGTCAGGACATAGCCTCCATGTGTGCAAGCTCTAATGAACTCTGGGGAGAGTGCAGTGGCTTGGACCTCAGCTTAATAGCTCTTGCCTTCCAGGCACGTGGTGAGGACCAGTGGCAGGAGTTAGCAAAGCACTTTTAGCCCTTCTCAGATAAGAAATATTAACAGAATTTTCACAATGATCACATTCAAGTTGAATAAAGCTTTTAATAAAACAGTCTTGTTCTTTATCAATACCTGTAAATTCTCTTTTAAAGCAGTAGCAAAGGCGACTGTAGCAAGAGCTCAAAAGGCAAGGCAATATCGGAAAGTGTTTTTAAACAGAAGGTTAAAAATATAAATGTAGAAGATCTGTTTATATATTTTTCTTTCAGAAATAAATTCCCCTCCCCCCCACCAGGTGAAAGGAAATATTGCACTTTCTGCTCTCATGACTAAGGTGACAGGGGTTCCAGAAGAACCTTTCAAGATTATCAGGACAAGGGACATTTCACCTAATCGGACCACACGGAGACAACCAGGACTCCAGGATGTAAAGCGTCTCCAGCAGTGTCCCGCCCCATCTGAAGCAGAGCTTCCTCACTGCGCCCAGCCCAGCAGCAAAGGCAGCTGTGTCTGCCTCTGCTTCGCTCCTGCTCACAGTGGCCAGGGCCTCTCTGGGGCAAGAAGGGCTGGGTTGGAACAAGGGCTCTGAAAGGATTGTTCCAGTACTACGCCTAAGACCCCTGCTCGGGGGATGCTACAGGCACACTGAGGAATAGTATGGCTGCCCTCAGAGCTCACACATCCACAAACAAATGAAGGCTTGAGGAGATTTTTAAACCTAAAGTCTATGTGATTGTGCACTTCAACAATTCAGGAGAATGTCGGGACTTGGTAATTTGTCATGTCCCAAGGCCTTTCTCTGATTAAAAAAAAATAGATTCTCCCTTCCCGTTTGGATTGTTGTGGGACCTCAGGAGTTGTCTACCACCTGGTGGGGTAGTGTGACAGAGGAGCCGTTGGGGAAGGCAGCTGGCCTGTCCCGTCCCTTCAAGAAAAAGGTCAGCAGCTCCCCCTTTCCCTTCACGAAGATGGGACCGCGCCTCACAAAGCGGAAGCCATACTCTCGAAGGATGACTTGTGTTTCTTCCACCACCTGTGGCGGGAGAACAGAACGGGAGGGCTTGGGGTTAGAGGGTGAGCCTAGACTGAGGGTGGCCACAGGGGTCTTGGGTGGTTGGAGCTGAGTGCTAACCCCTGCATAACCCACAGGTCCCAGATGGCACTAGGCCCCTGGCACTCTCCTCCAAACCTCCCAGGGCCAGGCCCGTCCATTCTACCCCCAGCCAGGCGGTGGGTGAGAGCAGGAGGAGGTTGGGTGAGCTGTGCGGAGCCCTCCGCTCTCCCAGAGATAGTCTTCATCCTGTCTCTCCTACGGGGACAGCCACAGGTTGCCTGTGTGGTGGCATTACTCTCTGGGAACTTTTATTCCCTGTTCTTCTGTCCCTTTGATCCTTTTGTGGAGCTTTCCTGCCAGACCCAGCTGATATAGAGCAGGATTGCTGCAGGAGCAGCTGCTACAGGCACAAGAAGTTTATACCAAGAGGCAGGCTATTCTCATCCAGAACTTAAAACCTAAATTTCGCAAATGGGTTGAAGCATCTCCCTTCTCTTGATGCTTGTAGAGACCTCTCTTCCCGCTTGTGCCCTTAATCTCGCAGCACTCCTGACTTATGTTCTGGGCCAGGTGGAGGAAGCACTAGTGCATGGCAATGAACTATTCGCTGTGTGGCTGGACTTACCTGAATGTTGCCCATGACCCCTGTGGACTCCATCCTGCTGGCCACGTTAACAGTGTTGCCCCAGATGTCATAGTGTGGTTTCCGGGCTCCAATGACCCCAGCCAAAACACCTCCTTTGTTCATGCCTGGGGTAGAGGCATAAAGTTAGTACAGCCACATGCCAAATCCTGTCATTAGCCTTTCTTAGAACCCACCACAGCTCTTCTACAGAATTTGTCACCTGACTCCTGCCATAAAGCTCCTAATTATATAATATGTCATATTCTTCATTAAACTTATCTAAGTTACTGGAGGGCAGAAATTGTGTCTCCTGTTTATCCTGTTCTTGCCATGTGCTTGGCAAACATCAGTTACCCCAGTGTGTTGACTAACGTAGCATGGTAGGGGCAGGCTTTGCTAACACACCTGGTATTTCAAGTCTGCTGTAACCTCACCTAGAAGGAATGAGACCCTCAGTAGGGGGAAGCTGGTAATGTTAACTCCTTTCAAAAAGGCAGGCTGGTCTGAGAAGAGCCAAGCCCTCCGCAGGCACAGAAACCCCCTTGGAAAGGCAGATAACAAACTGACTTCTCTGCCGGATTCAGAAGGAAGGCCAAGCTACCAGTGTAAACAAGCAGGGACAGGTATAGCTTGACCATTTCATCAGCTAGATTTTCAGTTAGATCATCTACAGAGACCGAACTGAAGGCCCTTCAGCTCCCTTCCAGCTCTGCATGTGATCCTCCCCAGTCCAGATGCCTCAGGTCTTGCTAAGCCTCCTGTCTTTCCTGCAGATTTGCTGGGTCCCTGCGTCAGAAGAGGCCATACAAAACCTGGCGCCCTCACCTATGCGCAGCATGAAGTTGTTGAAGGACTGGTTGTTGATGTTCGTAAGTGTGTCCTTCATGGCGAGTGCAAAGTCGGCCAGGTCGGCCAGGTGCTGCCAGCGCTCCTTGTCAGACTTGTCCTCCTGTGCCAGAGTAGCAGAGAATGTGTCAGGAGCCATCCAGGCCTGTAACTGCAGTAGCCTGCTCACCTGCCTTCTTCCCTTAGCAATGTTCTGGGCATGGATTCCTACCTAGTTGTTTCAAGCCTCATTTCCTTCCTCCTTGCGCAGCTTTTATCACTGCACAATTGCATAGATGGCTCCTGCGCCCCAGCTCTTATGAAAGCACAGAGCCTTGAGGGGTGTCCACAGTGCACATGCATCACCTTAGGCCTATGCTGTAGGACAGTGATGGTGTTTATTATGTGTGTTCTGTTTTTCTGCTCATTAAATTTTCCCAGTATGCCCTATTTCATATTTATATTTATTTATGGTTACATGGTGCTGGTGGCATGTGACCCCTTGGCACAACAGCACTTCTCTTTTGCTCTTGTAACCTCACATTTCCCACACATCTAGGCAAGGCAGGAACAAGGTGGAGGGGGCCAATCTCTTGCCCTGGAGCAGAGCCTCTCCCCTCTCTAGCCACTGGGGTGGGTAGCTACCTTGCTGGAGCTGGTAAAGCCATTGGTGTTGACATCTGGGGTGACTCCTGAAGCTGCCATGTAGGTGCTGCCAATGGTTTTGATCTTGGTGATGACTCGGAATTTGGGATTGTCCAGGAGCTGAGACCAGGATTAAAGAAAGAATCGTCAGCAGAGTCAAGGCAGATGAGTGAGCTAACAAAATGACAGATATAAGGACCCCACAAAACATCCAAGAGTCGTAGAGATGCTTTCCTATAAAAGCTTTTATTTATTCCACTGCTTATCTGCCATACGATCCTGGGCAAACTTCCTCACTTTCTGAGTTTAGTTTCCACAACCTTAACATTGAGATAAAAGTGCCAGTCTCCTAGGGTGGTTGAGCACATATATAAAGGCATTTTCCTTAATAAACAACTTGTCCAATAGATGTTTACTGACTCTGAATTTGAAAGTAGGAGGAATCAGAGGGGTCCTCAAGATCTTGTTTGGCTAGCCCTTATCCTGTGACCTTGCAGGTGACTTCCCAGGCTCCCACCCCCACAAACCCCACAGTTCCAAAGGCTGCAGAATTCCATATGTTATAGGAGGACCTTATCTGGGAAAATGTAGCTGGTCTGGGGTGTCTAGAACGTTCTCTTAGGCTTCTGCAGCCTGTCCCAGGATGCAATCTGGAATGGGCCAGCTTTGTGCAGGAGGAGGGGGCAGGACAGGCACTCACGGAGTCAAAATCTGAGATGATCTCATTGAGGAAGCGCAGACACTCAATGCCACCATTATTGATGCTCTCTTCTGTGTAGAAGTCAGCGAAGTTGGGCAGGGAGGCAAACATGACTCCAATCTCATCATACGACTGGCTGTACAGCTCCTAAAACGAGGCAGGGCCAATGTGCTCAGTGTTCAACTTACTGCATGATGTGCTACAGGAACGAGTCCGCCTTCCACACGCAGTAAGTGCGCTCTTAGAATACTTAAAAAATAGCTCATCACTACTTGGAATAAATAAAAGAATAGCTTCTCTGGTCCCTCTAACAGTCCCAGCTATGAGGAACAGGGTACAGTGGAGCTGGAAACCACTCTGTTTTGAGAATACCGCAGTCAACAGCAAGGCGGTCTCTAGCCAAGGCCTAGTTTTCTGAAATGCGGCCTCACATGTATGGCCCCATAAACAACATTTGCAGCAGCACCCCTTTACAGAAGTTCTGAGAAACACTTCCCTCCCGCTTTCATCGTGGTTGCCATTGAGGTTCCACCCTGCTGCAATCCCGTCACAAGAAGGCCTAGCCCAGAGAAAGCAGATGAAGACCAACGGCCCCCTGGTTCCAGGCTGCACTTGGCCACACCCCTCACCTCATCTCTCTTCTTGGACCCCAGGAAATGGCGTGCCACATGTTCAGGCAGCATGTTGGTGACCAACGCCTCATTCCAGCGTCGCATTTCATAGACACGTTCCTTCTGGTCGTGGACCTCGATCTTCCACAAGAATAACGTCCGTGCCAGTTTCTCCACCTACGGACACAGACAAGGCAAGGCGTTTGCTCTAAGCTGGTCACTCAATGGAGAGATGAAAAACAACACGAATGGAGGGGTTGCCCTTGGAAAAACTGGAAGGGAGACGGCTAAATGGCAAGGGAAATAAGACCCTGTAAGAATTAGGCTGATTGGAAAGGCCACCCTATAGTTGCAGTGAGGACGCCAGCCTCTGTGGTTACAGCAGAGAGCCGAGAGGCCTTCCATATGTGTGGGGCCTCCTGGGGCCTAATTTTAGCTATGGCTCTGTCCTGTGGAGGTGGCAGCAGTGGAGATCTCCCAGCCTGGTGTGTGGTCCCCATTTCGGGCAGGCTCCACTTGGCTAAGAAGTGACGTGAGGAGGCTGCACTTTCCCTGGAAAACCACTGGGGGGCACTTGAGCCAACATGGAGCCATAGTAGGCCCTTGTACAGGATCTTTTCCCGCCCTCTCTCCCTCACGCTTCTTTTCCTTT